TTGATAAGCGGCTGTCAAGGGTAAATTGTTAACTCTTTTCAGCCGTTGAATGTTGGAAGCACGGACTCTGAAGTCAGACTGCCTGCTTTGGTTTCAGTCCTGCGCCACCGGTTTATGACCTTGGGCAAGACAGTGAACCTCTCTGTTCTTCATTTTCCTTATCTGCAAAATGGGTGTAATGATAGTACCTACCTCAGAGGATTGTTGGGAGAATTGATGAGACGATAATATGTGAAGGGCTTAGAGCAGTGGCAGGCCCGTGGTGAGTGCTGAGTAAATGTTCGCTGCCTAGGCCATTGTTGTTATTTAACAGTTAAACTTATGGGTTTGTCTTGGCATGATGGCTATGTTGAAAGTGCGTAGGCCAGAATATGTGAAATCACGTTATAAATTATCAGTGCTTACGTTTTTCTTTTAGTGCATTTTGTTAAAAATGAAAATAAGAGGTTTAAATGATAAATTGACAGGCGTTCTGAGATGATGGCATTTGGAAGTTTCTGTACTGAGGGGTTTGGGTAGGTCTTCTGTGGTCTGGAATTTAAAAAATCAGATTGATTAAAATGAGGTTTCCTTCTAGCACTTTTACATTTATGGATCAATTTGCTTCCAAGGACTTGCGTTAACTAACTTGGAAAAGTGGAACAGTGAGTGGGCCTTTGAGTGTTATGTCTATGGTGTCACCATGTCTTTTAGACACTAGTGAAGAGCAAAGTGTAGCATGGTGTTAAGTGTAGTGGTCTGGTAATTTTATCAGGGAGATATTGGCTCAAATTGTGGAGGAGAGGATTTTGGTTAGCTCTTAGAATTTTGTGACATGTAGATTTGGGGACTCAAAGTGGATTATACAAATTGTGTAATTTAATGAAATTAAAGATACAGACTTGTGATCTGGGATGGTTAGTTACAACCCTAAAGTTTGCTTTGCCAAAATATTTGCTTTAGATATATTGTAGAATTGGTGTAAATAACCCCTCTTGGCAACTTTCTAACATAATTTAGTAACATTTAATAATATTTTAAACTGAGGTAGAATATAATTAATAGATATGAAACTTTTCAGGTTAACAAACTGCAAATTTAGTTTAGCTTAATATCTGTTCCCACTACGCTTTGGGAAATTCTTACAAAATTGATGTAGAGCAATATTCTTTAATATCTGTAATTTAAAAGAATATTATAATTAAGCTAAAATTAATTGGAGTTACAAAGGAGATATCTAGCTATGGCAACAATGACAAAATAAGAAGAATAGGACTTCCTTTTCAGTGTTTAGGGTGTTTTGAAAACAGGTCTAATAATGAGGGTAGCAAAGTAACTTTGCAAAATGACCACTGTATTTTAAAACAGTTGATTTACTCAATTTCTAAAGATTGGAGGTTTTCCTTTCTTTGCTTAAAGAGATCTTTTACAGACTTTTGGTTATAATTTTGGAATTTCCATACACACCTTGTAAAATGTTTAAATTCTGGATATTTTTGGTATAGACCTCACTACAAACAAAATAAATATATGAAAACCTCAGACTCCCTACCCCTCCCTTCTTTCCCCCTCAAAAACAACTAGGGGTAACTTTTTCCTCTTTATCCTAAGTATCCTTAATGGTTTCTTTTAAGTAGGAATTTTTCTAATGCACTTTAAATTATTTGTTTTTCCATGGCTATAGGTACTAGAGCATTTGCTGCATAAGGGCAGGAATTGTGCTTTTTTATTCCTATATCCTCAGTGCCTAACACTCAGTACATACTTGTTTCCTGACCGCGTCCTATCTATATGCTGGTGACACTCAGAACTCTCTGCTTGCTGGACTCTAGACCCATGTATCTTCTTGCCTGCAGGTCATTTTTTTTTAATGGCTTTGTTTTTTAGAGCACTTTTAGGTTCACAGGAAAATTGAACAGAAGGTACAGAGATTTCCCATATACTCCCTGTCCCCACTCATACATAGCCTCCCCCATAATCAGCACTTTCCACCACAGTGATATATTTGTTACAATTGATGTATCGATATTGACATATCATTATCACCCAAAGTCCATGGTTTACATTATGGCTCACTGTTGGTGTTGTGTATTATGAATTTTGACAAATGTATTATGATACGTATCCACCATTATAGTATCACACAGAATAGTTTCACTGCCCTAAAAATCCTCTGTGATCCACCTATTCATCCCTCTCTCCTCCCTAACCTCTGGCAAACACTGATCTTTTTACTGTCTCCATAGTTTTCTTTTCCAGAATGTCATAAAATTGGAATCATGCGGTATGTAGCCTTTTCAGATTGGCTTCTTTCACCTAGTAATGTGCGTTTAAGGTTCCTCCATGTCTTTTCATGGCTTGATAGCTCAGTTCTTTTTAGCGCTGAATAATAATCCACTGTCTGGATGTGCCAGTTTATTTATCCACTCACTTACTGAGGGACATCTTGGTTGCTTCCAGGTTTTGGCAATTATGAATAAAGCTGCTATAAACGTGTGTGCGGGTTTTTGTGTGGACATAAGTTTTCATCTCCTTTGGGTAAATACCGAGGAGCATGATTGCTGGATCTTAGTGGTAAGAGTATGTTTAGTTTTGTGAGAAACTGCAAAATTGCCTTCTAAAGTGGCTGTACCATTTTGCATTCCCACCAGCAATGAATGAGGGTTCCTGTTGCTCCACATGCCCACCAGCATTTTGTGTTGTCAGTGTTCCGGACTTTGGCCATTCTAATAGGTGTGTTGTGGCATCTCGTTTTAATTTGTACTTCCTTGATGACATAATGATGTGGAGCATCTTTTCATATGCTCATTTGCCATCTGTACGATATGTCTTCAGTGAGATGTCTTTTAAAGTCTTTGGCCCATTTTTTTAGTTGGGTTGTTTGTTTTCTTATTGTTGAGTTTTAAGGGTGCTTTGTATATTTTGCATACCAATCCTTTATCAGACATGTCTCTTGCAAATATTTTCTCCCAGTCTGTGGTTTGTCTTCTCATTCTCTTGACAGTGTCTTTCCCTGCAGATCATTTTCCACTTTTATGTACCAAGGTACTTCAAATCTACATGTCCAAAACTAAAACCTTTATTCTTTCCAACCATCCAAGACTCTCACCCTCTATATTCAGTTAGTCATTAAGCCCTGATTTTTCTGCTGTCTGGTTGTCACAAATCTGGCATTGCTTTTCTCTCAGTCACTCATTTTCACATTTACATTCAGTCCTTCTCTTTTACGTTCTAAGTTGGTCTGTCTGCTTTTGGTCTCTGCTTCCTCCCTTTGGTTCTTCCTACTGTAACTTAAGGGAACTTTGTAATATAGGTGACTTAGAAGGCCTTCAGTATAAAGTCCCAAGTTCCTTGATATGGATAGTAGGTACACAGCCCTCCTGAGCTGGCTCTTCTCATTACTTTCCTGCTATTTTCAGCAAGTGCCTGTATGCACCTTATTTTCTCTCTTCCTACTAAGTCTGTGATCTCAGCCTAGACATCACTTGGATCAGACACTGTTCCTCTGCTCCTCACCTTGAATTGGCTGTCATCTCTCTGTGTTCCCATAGTACTCTCTGCTTGGGCCCATGTAACACGTGTTCCCCTGAACTATAATTTTTCTGTACTACTTTGCCTCCCCAAATAGACTGCAATCTCTATGAGGACTTTGTCTTGATCACCCTTGTTTGTCTAGAGTTTAGCCCTGTTTCTGGCATGTAGTTGGTGCTCAGTAAATATTTATTGAATGGCTAACTAATACCTTCACACTGTCCTTAATATGCTTTTCCAGTCTTATCCTCCAGCATTTCCCCTTTGCCCTACCTAGTCAAACGGGATTCTTTTTGTTTCTTGAACACTCTCTGTACTTTAACATCTCTATACCTTTGCTCATGATTGTACTTCATCTCTCAAATACTTGTCTTTGCTACTTTGGGCAGATTACTTAACCTCTTGAAGACTTAGTTTCCATTAGCATGTGAACAGCTATTAAGCATACTGCTGCCTCGCCCCGTGTCCTAATGCTGGAGTGGCAGTATAGTTGAGGGGTTAAGAGGACAGGCTCTTAAGAGTCAGACCTGGATGTGTCTCTCGGCTCTGTCACTTACTGGTTGTGCTTGTGACTTTAACCTCCATGAGAGCAGGGACACTGCCTACTTTTTCATCTAAAAGCACATTGCCTAACACACAGAAAGTGCTTAAATATTAAAAAAAATTAGTTGTTAAGTTACTTAATTTCTATAAATATTACCACTTACATTCTAGTGAGAAAAATGAACAGAATTACAAATTGTGGTATGTACTATAAAGGAGTCAGAAGTGCTAAAGTAAAGAATAATGGGGGCGGGAGGGAGACCTGCTTTCAGAAGTGGTGACATTTAAGCTATGATAAAAGGATAAGGAGCTGGCCCTTTGAAGGAGGGAAGGGAGAACATCTCAGATTGAAGGAGCAGCAGAGGTAAAGGCCCTGAGGTAGGACTGAACATGGACTGTTCTAGGAGCTGAGAGACAAGACAGTTGTTGAGCACATGGATGCTCAACAACAATCCCTGCCCGGAGAGAGATAGGCAGCGATCAGATCCTGCAAAGTCAAAGTAAGGAATGGGAATTTTATTTTAAGGGTGCTGAGAAGCCATCAAAAGGTTTTAATTAAAGGAGTAACCTAATCCACTTTTAAGATTGCTGCAGCTGTTGTTTGGAGAATTGATTGGTTAGAAGGCTGGTTCTTTGATCAGGCGATAGTTGATTATGACCTGGATTAAGGTGGTGGCAGTGAAGATAAAGAGAAGTGGATGGATTTGAGATGTATTTTGGAGGCAGAATTAACAAGACTTGCTGATGGATTAGATACGAGAGGTGAGGGAAGGAAGGAATTAGGTGGTTTCTGGCTTGAGCAACTGTGTGGATCAGGGTGCTGTTTACTAAGATGGGAAAGACTGGCGGTGGGGATGGGGCTGAAGAATAGCAATAAAATTCAAAGTTCTGATATGCTGGATTTGAGGGATCTATGAGACGTCCAAAATGATCCAGGGTGGTGTCACAGAAGCCAGATGGGAGATACTAGAGCATGCTTGGGTGTTAGAGGGAATGATCTGGTAGAAAAAGAAGGAGAGATTGATGCAAGAGAGAAGGGATAATAGGAGTGTGAAGTCTGAGACGGTGGGAGGACAGTGCCCAAGTGCAGGGTCACTTCTTCCGTTCTCATGGGAGAGCAGGAGGTGGTAAGTCAGCATTTGATGGCCTCTGTTGTATTTTCTAGAGGAAGCATTGGTGGAGCCATCAGTTGCGAGTATTTATAGTTAGTGAATACTATACTATGGCAGGTTAAAGATAGTGAGACACATTGAGAAACTGAGCAGAGGGGAAGAGAGGAGAGATTCTGTGATGGGTTAGCCAGTGATGACACCTGATACTTACTGTTCACAGGAGATTAGGAGAATACCTAGAGCAAGAGTATTAATTTTTTTCCTAAATGTAAACTTTTTTGTTGATGTATAGCATAAATACATACAGAAAAGTGTTCAGATTATAAGTGTACAGCTTGATGAATTTTCACAAAGAGAACACACTATTTTGACCAGCTCCCATGTGTCCCATTACTTTTACTTTGATTTTTTTTTTGGTAACTCTTCAGGAACTCCAGGCTCAATGATATAGATAAGGTAGTCTATTTGGGGTCAATTTATTCTCTGGGCTTGGGTCACAATGACCAGAATGATATTGGCAAAGACCTTTTATTAGGTTTGAGGTTGCCCAGTCATGTTGAACTTATTTGTGGTTTTTGTTTGCTTTGTTTTGAAAAGCAGGGGCTTAGGGGCACATGGAAGGAACTAGAAAGAGAAGGTTGGAGGAAAAACCTTTGGAGAACTAATCTATATTTATAAAGCAGATGTTGTCAGTGAGAAATATTTTCTTAAAAATTTAGAATAATTTAATGCCAGTCTTGAACTTTATAGGAAGTATTATACTGTACTTGTTAGACTTATTTATTGTCATGTCGACAAGCTTAGCTGGTGATGGTTGATAACAGTGAAATTAAATGTAGACTAGCCTCTTTCCAAAGACTCTACCTTGGAAAGATTACTTCAATAATTGGTTTAACTGAATGATGTAATCTAATTGTTAAAAACTTCTTCCTTTTTTGCCCCCTTTGTTTTACCTTTTGCTCCTTGAATTGGGCTAAAGTTCAGCCTTTTTTTCCTTTGGTAAGTATAAACTAAAACGTGTGTATATGTATATGAAATATGTGGCTTTTTTCTTTGAATAGGCTGTTTTGAAAATTTTTTTTCCCTATAAGTATCCATCTATTTGAGGCATTTTTTCCCCCCCAAAGCCCCAGTAGATAGTTGTATGTCATAGTTGCACAGCCTTCCAGCTGCTGTATGTGGGACGTGGCCCCAGCATGGCCGGAGAAGCGGCGTGTCAGTGCGCGCCCGGGATCCGAACCCGGGCCGCCAGTAGGGGAGTGCGCGCACTCAACCGCTAAGCCACAGGGCTGGCCCTATTTGAGGCATTTTAAGAAAAAGAGAAATCTAAGGAAAAAAAGAATCAAAGCAGTAAACAAAATCAAGTCTTGATTTCTCGGTGTATGAAGTTACTGGCAGTTCATTAGCAGGAAAGTGTGGGGACACAAAATATGCACTAAAGTTTTAAAATTTAATTTTTTTTTTATTACCAAAAACTATGTATATATGTTTTGTGGGACATTTGAGAAATATATACAGAAATGCAACCCCTTCCTCCCCCACAATCATTTATAATTTGATTTGGAAAGTAACCATTGTAGACATTTTGGTGTTGTTTCTAGTCTGTGTGTTTGCCACATTTTTTTGAGTCAGCCATAGATATTTTAAAGTAAATTTCTTTGATCTGACTTAAATCCTGGTGGATATTTTCCCATGAAATGATTACCACTTGTTGGTAACTGTACATGTGTGAACTGTGTAGTTCCAAATGGTGAAGTTTGTGCTTATAGTCTCTATATCCTCCCTCTATATTCTTGATATCTTGTGTGCCTGTTGTTCAGTGGTCCTGTCTCTGTTCTCTGTGGTTTCTGGTTCTAAACTTGACCTCCCTCTCCCCTTCTCTAATCCCTCACCTTAAGTTTTTAAACCACATTCTGCAATTCAGACGCCCTTCTGGTTTCTTTTCTGTCCCATTACATGGTACATACTTACATAAAGATAGACAGCTGTATCAATGTGCATATTTAACTATTTTTTTCTTTTAATGTAAATGTGATTGTAGTATATTCTGTGGCTTTTTTTTCTCCACCCATTTAAACAGTTTGATTATTATATGTTAGTAGATATGAGTCCATCTTATTGGGGAAAAAAAAAGGTAGCATAGTATTGTGTTGTATGGACTGTAATTTAATGACTCTTAAGATAAGGCTGTTTTCAGTTTATTTGCTTTTTTTTTTTTTTTTTGTGAGGAAGATCAGCCCTGACTTAACATCCGTGCTCATCCTCCTCTTTTTGCTGAGGAAGACCGGCTCTGAGCTAACATCTATTGCCAATCCTCCTCCTTTTTATCCCCGAAGCCCCAGGAGATAGTTGTATGTCATAGTTGCACATCCTTCTAGTTGCTGTATGTGGGACATGGCCTCAGCATGGCCGGAGAAGCAGTGCATTGGTGTGCGCCCGGGATCCGAACCCGGGCTGCCAGCAGCGGAGCGCGTGCGCTTAACCGCTAAGCCATGGGGCCGGCCCCAGTTTATTTGCTATTACAAACAGGACCGCTGTAGGCATCCGTATACATACACCTTTGCCAATGTGTAAATTGGAGGATAGACTCTTGGAAGAAAAACTTCTGAGTCAAAGAGTATACACACTTTAAATTTTGAAACAAACTGCCAAATCTTATTAGAAGTCTTCACAGTGGACATTCTCAGCAGTGTTTCCCTATGTCTTTGCCAATACTTGGAATCAAATCTTTGAAAGCAAATTTATATCTGTCATTTCTTAAGTAATGCATGTTTGTGATGTTTCTCATATCAAGTTTTTGAACTACTTCTTCCTTTTTGCTAAAGCGTTTTACATGCACATATAATTTAAAATATTCCACTACGTTTTTTTTTTTTTTAAGAAAAGCTCCTTGCCCCTACTCCTCTCCAGATGTCCTTTGCCAGAGGCAACTACTTTTACCTCTGTGATTATTTTTGTATTTACCTTCTTTGTCTCTAAATAACATGCGTCTATTGTTACTTCCAGATTTCACTTTTAGGCCTTATCTATTGAATTCCTATTGTGAATTTAACTCTTCTTCCTGCCCCCATCAGTATACATACGCTTCCTATTCCTACACTCTCCTAATTTAGTAACATCATAATTTTGAGTTTGCATTATTATGACTGTAAAAGTTATTCACAATTTGAGCCATATAGTAAACCGTGGTTACTTTTCTCTCTGCACTATTTAATTTGTATTTGTATAACTTTCCTTGTAGTTAATACTTATCTTTTTTCTTTTTTGCTTTGTTTTCTGTGTTTACGGTAATGCTCCCCCACATTACTTACCACTTGTCTAAATGTTCAAGTTGCTCAGATGCCCCTCATGTTGCCTTCTCCCTCTAGTGTAAAGCTGTCATTATCCTCAGCGTTTCCTTCAGCTTTCTTCTGGGTTAAGGCTTCTGTTCACTGTAGCTCATGTTGTCCTCTTTCTTGGTCCATTCCCTTGTGTTTAAAGAGCTTGTCCTCTAGGAGCTTCCCGAGAACCTATCCAGGAGAAGTAATGTTTTGAAACCTTGCATCATTAGTCTGCCCTCAACACTTCTAGGATAATTTGGTTAGAATGGTAACCATTTTCTTTGAGAATGTTAAAAAGCATTGCTCTTTTGCATCTAGCTTTGGATGTTATTGCTCAAAAGTCCAAAGCTCTTTTGTTTTCTGGTTTATTTATTCATCTAAAAAATATTTACTGAGCCTGTACTGTGTGCCAGGCACTGTTTTAAGTGTTTGGAATACATCATTAAACCAGACAGAAATTCTTATCTTCTGTGTGTGGGGGGTAGTGGTGGTTATAACAAAAAACATAATAAATAAGTAAATTGTATAGCCTGATAGAAGCTAATACATTCTGTGTAAAAAAATAAGAATAGAATGGGGGAGAGGAAGGAAGGGAAGAGGAAGAGGGGTGTAATGGGCAAGGAATAGGAGTGCATAGTGGAGGGGTCAGTGGGCAGAGCGCTGTTTTAAATAGAGGGGACAGGGTAGGTCTCATTGAGAAGGTAACATACAAGCAAAGATTAGAAGGAGGTGAGAGAGTTAGTCGTGTGGGTATCCAAGAGAAAGTATTTTAAGGCAGAGGCCCAAAGGAGCAACCTAGCCTTATGGAAGAAGGAGGCTAGTGCAGTGAGTGAGGAGGAGAGGAGTGGGAGATGAAGTCAAACAGTAATGGGAACACGTCACCATATTGTGTAGGGCCGTATAGGCTGTTTTAGGATTTTATCTATTACCCATGGGTTGCCACTGGGGAGGGCGTGATCTGACATAAATTTTAACTGAATTTTTCCGATTGCTGTGCTCAGAGCATGCTCAGAGCATATTGAGTGGTGGGGATTGGAAACAAGGATGGAAGCAGGAAGATTGGTTAGAAGGATATTACAGTAATCCAAGTGAGAGATACTGCCTTGGACTATGGTAGTGGTAGAGGTGGTGAGGAATGGTTAGATTCTGGATATATTTTTAAAGGAGGTACAGTAAGATTTCCTGGTGGTTTTAGATATATGGTGTGAAAAGAAGAATCAAGAATGACTTCAAGCCTTTTGCACTGAGTAACTGGAAGGATGGCGTTGCCCTTCAGTGAGGGTAGAGTAGTTGGGAGAAGATGAGGAGTTCAGCTTTGTCTACCCCCTGTAGGTGTATCTAGGAGGCAGTTGGATATACAAATCTGGAGTTTAAGACTAATCTGGAGTGCTTTGTTTATTTGTTTTTTAATCTGGGCTGGAGATAAAAATTTTGAAGTCCGTGGCAATATTGGTGGAATTTAAAAATGACAAGACTGAATGAGATCACCAAAGGGAAGAAACGTGAACTGTTGGACAACTCCCAATTTCAAGAGTGTGAGGAGAAGAGCAGGAATCAGTAAAGGAAGCTGAGGAGTGACTGGTGAGACAGGAAAACCAAGAGTGTGCGGAGTCAGCGAACAAAGTTCATCAGGCAGGAGCCAGTGATCCATCACGCCTGTCAGATGTTGGTGACAGTTCACAACTTGTAAATTAAATACAAATAAAACTGCAAAACCATTGAAATTCAAATTTTACTGATTTACTAAAGTATTGGATACTGTCTGCTAAATTGAAGTCTTGAAACAACATGGGTTATAGAATTGACTGTTACGCTGTAGGTTCTTTTTGGGTTGAGCACCAAAATTGCCGTGTATGGTGTGGTCACCATGTGCTGCATTTTCTTACCAGCATTTAAGTGCTTCAGTGAAAACCGTGATGTCGTTTGGGCTTGGCTTCACACAAATGCATCATTTATGTATTAGGTCCCCCTCTGCTTTTTTCTTTAGCCTGCCATAATTAGAGTAATGTAGTACCAGCTTGGAGCTCGTGTGACTCTAAATGCGAATGAGAGCATTCAGTTACATGGCTAACAGATAGATTCATATGATTCTAATGTGCTGATACTGTTTAGATTATTAAACACAGGAAAATAAAACATTAAACTTTTGTAGAGAAATGTGGGCCCCCCTCCCCCTTAAGAATAGATTCTTAGTTTGAAGAAAATTAGATTATAAGTTAATTCATGTGTTATATTCTATTTGAAATAACTAAAATGATTTGGTTAGAGTTTCAGATGTAATACTTAGGAAGACATAGGCTATAACAATTTCAATGGAATATAATGTAATTTGAATAAGAATCCATGAAATTTTTTTATTGATGTCTTTTTTTTTTTTTTTTTGTGAGGAGATCAGCCCTGTGCTAACATCTGCCAATCTTCTTTTTTTGCTGAGGAAGACTGGCCCTGGGCTAACATCCGTGCCCATCTTCCTCCACCTTATATGGGACGCCGCCACAGCATGGCTTGCCAAGCAGTGCGTCGGTGCGTGCCCGGGATCCGAACCGGTGAACCCTGGGCTGCCGCAGCGGAGTGCGCGTACTTAACCGCTTGTGCCACTGGGCCGGCCCCTATTGATGTGTTAATAGTTTATAACATTGTGAAATTTTGGTTGTACATTGTTGTTTGTCAGTCACCATATACATGCCTCCCTTCACCCCTTGTGCCCAACGCCCAACCACCCTGCCCCTGGTAACCACCATACAGTTCTCTCTGTCCGTGTGTTGGTTTATATTCCACATATGAGTGAAATCATGTGGGGTTTGTCTTTCTCTCTCTGGCTTATTTCACTTAACATAATACCCTCCAGGTCCATGTTGTTGCAGATGGGACTATTTTGTCTTCTCATGGCTGAGCAGTATTCCATTGTCAGTGCCGCATCTTCTTGATCCAGTCATCAGTCGAGGGGCATTTGGGTTGCTTCCACTTCTTGGCTATAGTGAATGATGCTGCACTGAACATAGGGGTGCATAAGCCTCTTTGGATTATTGATTTCCAATTTGTTGGATAGACTCCCAGTAGTGGGATAGCTGGATCATAAGGTATTTCTGTTTTTAGTTTTTTGAGGAATCTCCATACTGTTTTCCATAGAGGCTGCACCAGTTTGCATTCCCATCAGCAGTGAATGAGGGTTCCCGTTTCTCCACATCCTCTCCAACATTTGTTGTTTTTTGTCTTGGCGATTATAGCCATTCTAACAGGTGTAGGGTGATATCTTAGTGTTGTTTTGATTTTCATTTCCCTGATGATTAGTGATGTTGAACATCTTTTCATGTGCCTATTGTCCATCTGTATATCTTCTTTGGAGAAGTGTATGTTCATTTCCTCTGCCCGTTTTTTGATTGGTTTGTTTGTTTTTTTGTTGTTCAGTTGTGTGAGTGCTTCATATATTATGGAGATTAACCCCTTGTCAAATATATGTTTTGCAAATATTTTCTCCCAGCTGGTGGGGTCTGTTCATTTTGATCCTGGTTTTATTTGTCTTGTAGAAGCTCTTTAATCTGATGAAGTCCCACTTGTTTATTTTTTCTTTAGTTTCCCTTGTCCAAGTAGACATGGCATCCAAAAAGATTCCTTTATGACCAGTGTCAAATAGTGTATTGCCTATATTTTCTTCTAGGAGCTTTATAGTTTCAGGTCTCACCTTCAGATCTTTGATCCATTTTGAGTTGATTTTTGTGAATGGCGCTAGCAGATGGTCTACTTTCATTCTTTTGCAAGTAGCTGTCCAGTTTTCCCAGCACCATTTACTGAAGAGACTCTCCTTTCTCCATTGTATGTTCTTAAGGACCATGAATTTTTTAATATGGCATTTCTTTATCATAAATTCTGTTATTTTTCTATTTTACTAGTAAAGAGCCATCAATCATTTTTTACTCTCTAATGTGACTTTTTACCTCATTTCTTTAATTTCTTTTGTCTCCCAAGCAATATGCTCTTTTCTGTTTAGCTGAGTATCACCACCTCTTCATAGGTTACTGCCGATTTTGATCTGCTGTAACATTTTTTGTTCTGAGTGTGTGTGTGTGTATATTTACCTACCATACTTGTCAAATGGAATGGGGAGTTTAATGTGTTGTATGTTACAGTGTAGAACTGGGTACAGTGTATTTTATAAGGAAGATTTAAAAAGCATAGCTTAATGCCAAGATGGAGCAAAAGAGCAAACATCTACTAGATTATGTGACAATTTTATATCCTGAGGGAATATAAAACATAATCAGTGTAGTAAACAGTTGTATTCAAACTTGGACACAAATAACTAAGTGAATAGTGTTTGGATGCTTTTATCTAGACACTGTGAGAGTTGGTCATATTACATTAATGATTGTGTTGTCATCATAACTGACATAGTTTCCATAATTTCAAGTGTGTTACCAAAAATTCTAATTTCAAAAAGCAACTACTTGCTAGGACTAAAGGTTTAATTTAAAGAATTTAGGGAAATTCTAAATTTTTTGGTCAATTTTTATAAACACTGAAAAGATGTATTGGATGTTAAATTGAACATTCTGTACAGAGTGAGAAGGAGATTATACATACTGTTTTTTAGGGTTATTTGAAAGAAAATGAGATTTAGGGACAAAGCAGACAGTCTGGCTCAGGTCTTATTACTTCTTAATTTTTCTGATCTTCAATTTCCTCATCTGCAAAATGGAGATACAGCCTACTTTATGAGGCCTAAATAGTGTGTATGAAGCTGCTGACATAGTGCCTTACAGGTTGGTCGGTGCCCAGTTTATGAGCTTCTTTCACAGCAAACTCTGTAATCTTTACAGTCCCAAACTGAGGTTATGAAAATGAACACAGTAGGTTGAAACAATAGTTTTCAGTAAAATCCTGTATATTCAGGGTCTTTTGTATTTAGTGATTCATTGAAGGGTTCCTGGTATGGCTCTGTAAACATTACTGAGTGTGTTGTTAGTAATATACTGAACATTCTGATATTTTTTATCTCAGTGTCCAAAAATCTGTTGTTAGTGGTTTTATTGTTTCACAAATGAGGAACTTGAGACCAAGGATATTGTAGTTTTGTCCAGTATAAAAATAATTAGTAAGAGCCAAAGTAGGAATTCAGGTTTGAGCTTCTGATTTCAACCAAATTCAGTGTTCTTTTCACTACACGTAGGTACATTCTCGAGGTATATTATTAGTAGTGCCTTACTAAAAAATGAAATTACTTTCTAGGAATTGATGGGTTTATGGAACTCTGATGTCACAAACATAAATATTTTGAAAACTTAGAGAATTGGTATGGAACTACATCCAATTTTTTGTTGTTGTTGAGGAGGATTGTCCCTGAGCTAACACCTATTACCAATCTCCCTTTTTTTGTTTGAGGAAGAGTGGCCTGAACTAACATCTGTGCCCATCTTCCTCTATTTTGTATGTGGGACGCCACAGCATGGCTTGATGAGTAGTGTAGGTCTGCGCCTGGATGCAAACCCATGAACCCGGGCCGCTGAAGCAGAGCGTGCTGGCCCCTCAATTTTTTTAGATTACGTTTATGGTAATAAAATGATTTACTGCACATAGTGTTATTATTTTTTTAAATAGGCTTTATTTTATTTTTATTTTTTTGTGAGGAAGATTAGCGCTGAGCTGACATCTGTTGCCAATCCTCGTCTTTTTTGCTGAGGAAGATTGGCCCTGGGCTACCATCCGTGCCCATCTTCCTCTACTTTATATGGGACACTACCACAGCATGGCTTGATAAGCAGTGTGTAGGTCCGCACCCAGGATCTGAACCTGCGAACCCCAGGCCCCAGAAGCAGAACGTGCGACCTTAACTGCTGTGCCACCGGGCCAGCCACAAAATAGGCTTCATTTTTTAGAGCAGTTTTAGGTTCAAAATTGAATAGAAGGTACAGAGATTTCCTGTATCCACCCTGCCCCATTCGTAGCCTTCCCTATTATTAATGTCCCCCACCACCAGAGTAGTATATTTGTTACAATTGATGCATCTACAGTGACACATGATTATCACTCAGAGTTCATGATTTGCATCACCGTTGGTGTTGTATATTATGTGAGTTTTGACAAATGTACAATGATATGTATCTACTCTTATAGTACACAGAACAGTTTCACTGCCCTAAAAATCCTCTGTGATTTACCTATTCGTCCCTCTCTCCTCCCTAACCTCTGGCAAGCACTGATCTTTTTACTGTCTCTATAGTTTTCTTTTCCAGAATGTCATAAAATTGGAATCATGCGGTATGTAGCCTTTTCAGATTGGCTTCTTTAAACTAGTAATGTGCGTTTAAGGTTCCTCCATGACCTTTCATGGCTTGATAGCTCAGTTCTTTTTAGCGCTGAATAATACTCCACTGTCTGGATGTGCCAGTTTATTTATCCACTCACTTACTGAGGGACATCTTGGTTGCTTCCAGGTTTTGGCAATTATGAATAAAGCTGCTGTAAACATCCATGTGCAGGTTTTTGTGTGGACATAAGTTTTCATCTCCTTTGGGTAAATACCAAGGAGGATGATTGCTGGATCTTAGTGGTAAGAGTATGTTTAGTTTTGTAAAAAACTGCCAAATTGCCTTCTAAAGTGGCTGTACCATTTTGCATTCCCACCAGCAATGAAGGAGGGTTCCTGTTGCTCCACATGCCCACCAGCATTTTGTCTTGTCAGGGTTCTGGATTTTGGCCATTCTAATAGGTGTGTAGTGGTATCTTGTTTTAATTTGCATTTCTCTGATGACATATAATGTGGAGTATCTTTTCATATGCTTATTTGCCGTTGGTACAGTATATCTTTTGTGAGGTGTCTGTTAAGGTCTTTGGCCCATTTTTAATCAGCATCTTTGTGTTCTTACTGTTTTAAGAGTGCTTTGTATATTTTGGATAACAGTCTGTTATTAGATATGTCTTTTGCAGATATTTTCTCCCAATCTGTGGTTTGTCTTCTCATTCTATTGATACAGTGTCTTTTGCAGAGTAGAAATTTTTTAAGTTTAATTAAGTCCAACTTATTAATTGTTTCTTTCCTGGTTCATGTCTTTGGTGTTGTTTCTGAAAATTCATTGCCAAACCCAAGTTATTTGGATTTTCTCCTATGCTATCTTCTAGGATTTTTATAGTTTTGTTTCACATTTTGGTCTGTGATTCATTTTGAGTTAATTTTTCTGAAGGGTATAAGGTCTGTGTCTAGATTCATTTTTTTGCAGGTGGATGTCCACTTGTTCCAGCACCATTTGTTGAAAAGACTGACTTTTCTCCATTGTATTACCTTTGTTCCCCTGTCACAGATCAGCATGGTGTTATTTTAAATCTCAGTGGTGAATTCTCTTTACAGTTATATCATGCCTCAAACATATTGTACTTGCAGGGGCATCAGAGATGAGTGAGTTCTGGTTGTTTACATGCTGTTTCTTCTACTTGGAATTCTTCATACCGTTTTACTTGATTTATTCATTCTTTCCAGAAATGTTTGAGTACCTGGTCTGGGCTGGGTACTGTCCTAGGTGCTGGAGATACAAGAGTGAGCAGAACAAACAACGTCTGTTCTCATGAAGTATATATTGTAATGTAGAGGTTCTGAACCAAAAGTTAATGGTTCAGGGATCCTGGGAGTTCTCAAGACCCTTTGAAGGTCAAAACTTTATTTCACAATAAGGAGACATGAGAGTACAGTGGAGTTTCCCAGAGGCTACATGATATGTGGTATCTTAACAGATTAAATGCAGAAGCAGATAGTTAACATCCAACCATATTTTATTGTGTCAGACATTAAAAAGATTTGCAAAAATATAAAATATAGACACTCTTCTCCCTATTATGGAAAACAGTTATTTTTCATAAACATTTAATATGCAATGGATTTTTACATGTCATGTGAAATGTAATGGTAATTTTAAAATAAATATTTAAAAAAATTTCTTGGCTTGAATTTCTAATACACTAAATTTCAAGACGTATAAGCCACATTGAAAAAAGCTCTTTTGGGGGCCTTAATAATTGTTTTAAGGTGTAAAGTAATAAAGGCAGACTTTTTCTTAAATGGCCAGATAGGTTTAAAGGACTTGGGAGTCATAGGGTCAACTGTTCAACTCTGCCCTTGAAAGCAGTCATAGACAATATGTAAATGAATGGGCATAACTCTGTTCCAATAAAACTATTAAAAACAGGCAGCTGGCCTGCAGCTGTAGTTTGCCAACCTTTGGTGTAAATGGAGTCATTGGAGCCAGCCCAGTGGCATAGTGGTTAAGTTGCGCTCTCCCCTTTGGCGGCCCGGGGTTAGCAGGTTCGGATCCCGGGCGTGGACCTACGCACTGCTTATCAAGCCATGCTGTGGCAGGCGTCCCACATATAAAGTAGAGGAAAACGGGCATGGATGTTAGCCCAGGGCCAATCTTCCTCAGCAAAAAAGAAATGGAGTCATTGTTGACTAACTTTAATCCTTTTACAACGAGATCGCCATTTCTTAAATTAATTATTTTGATTCATCCCCTGATTTTTTTTTAAAAAGTAATTTTCTTAAGAAGGGTTCATGGGTACTATATTCCTCGAGTTCTTACATGTTTAAGCATGTCTGTTGGTTGCCTTTTGTCTTAATTTTTTCCCTCTGATTACAGAAATAATACAAGTTTCTTATAAGAATATAATAAAGCATAATGTATTCTAATACTGATGCACATGTGAATTTTTATATATCCTCTTAAATCCCCATCTTCCCTTGACTTCTGAGGTGCTGCCTTCCTGGTTTTCTCTCACCCTTGCTTTCCTTCTCAGTTCTTTAGGCTTTTGCTACTCCTGTGGGCCTCACTCAGCAGCATTGGTCACACCTGGGAGCTGGTTAAAAAATGCAGAGTCTCAAGCCCAGCTGTACAGCAGTTCTGATTCTAACTCAGAATCTGCATTGCAACAAGGTCTCTAGACAATAAGTAAGCACAATAAAGTTTGAGAACTGTTGCAGTCTAGATGCCACTACCTTTTCCTTTAATGAACTTTTAAATCTTTAAATACTGGGATTTCTTTTATTTGAGGCCAGCTCCTCTTCTCTGTGACTTCAGGTAACATCTGTACGGTAACAACTCCTAATCTCCAGTCGTAACTCTTTTGTGTCTCAACTGCTTCTTTGATTAGACATCTCATGGGCATCTTACTCCTCCTTTGCATTTCATCTGTTATCATATTGCAGTATCTAGCATGGTGCCTAATAGACTCTAAGTATGTGCTGTTTTTTACCAGAGGCGGAATCCTCAAAATACAGTGATTTAGGCAGTAAAAAAGCAAATGTACTTTGCTTTACACATTTGAGTTAGCGTTTGCGTTTTCCTCTCCATTTCCTCTATCATCACCTTTGTTCAGACTTCTTTTTTTACAGCAGCCTTCTATCAGATCCTGTGTCCTGGGCTTTCCCCACTTTAGATTGTCAGTCTTACCAGACACACAACTCTTCTATAGCTACAAAGTTTTCAGAATTATCTTCAGGATAATAGAGCTTTTAGGAAAACATGCACAATTTAAAAAAATTTCTCTTATTACTTTGCTGCAGTTCTGGAAACTGAAAATAGGTTATATAATTTTTTTTCTTAGCATTGTTTTATAATTTGATTTTTAACTTTTGGCATTTTTAAGCTGTTGAATTTTTAAGGAGACTTGCCTTAATTTTTGTCAGAGTGTAAGAAGTAAATCTTAAAATAGAAGCGATTTTTAACATAATTTAACAAACATTTTCTGCATAATATCTATCACAATATCAAATGTAGAAAGTTCCTTTTTTGCAAAAAAGACTTGAGGAAAGCCCTGAAATTTTTTTTTTGCAGGGGAAGATTTGCCCTAAGCTATTATCTGTTGCCGGTCTTCCCGCCCCCCCCCCCCCCCCCACAGCCCCAGTACATAGTTGTGTATAGTTCTAAGTGTCTTCTTTGTGAGCCACCGACACATTATGGCTACTGACAGACAAGTGGTGTGGTTCCGTGGGAACTGAACCCAGGCTGCTGAAGAAGAGCGTGTGGAACTTTAACGGCTAGGCCATCAGGGCTGGCTCAGCCCTGAAATGTTTTTTTGTTTTATTTTTGGTGAGGAAGATTGGCCCTAAGCTAACATCTGTGCCCATCTTCCTCTATTTTGTATGTGGGACGCCACCACAACATGGCTTGATGAGCAGTGTGTAGGTCTGCACCCGGGATCCGAACCTGTGAACCCTGGGCCGCAGAAGCAGAGCACACGAACTTAACCGCTATGCCTCTCTGCCAGCCCGAACCCTGAAATATTTTGAATGGAGAAGTTTTATTTAACCCATTGATTCCTAATACAGAGAGCAAATTCATAATCTGAACCTGTACTTTTATTTTACAATAAATATTATGTCGTTTCTAGGAATAATTTTTGGAGAAATAAAAGAAGGGTAGTGATATTTGCATCCTGTCTTTTTTACTAAATTAAGAATGCAAATCTTCTTATTTTGACTAATTGTTTTCACAATTCTCAATCAGACTAATCTTTATACCTTTTTTATTGTCCTCTTTGAAGGAAATATAGCTAAAAATCACCCATATCCTACCACTCAGAGAACTCACTCATTGGTCATCTTCTGGTGTGCAGTCTTTCTGATTTCTCATTCCTTGCTCCCCCTGTTGCCCCATACCTCCCATGTATGTTGTTTGTAATTTGCTTTACAATACATTGTGATCCTTTTAACATATCTGACTACATTCCTCCATTTTAAACTTTTATTTTGTATGTAACTGTATTAGCTGCCTGTTGCTGCTATAACATAACATTTTCACAGGTTCAGTGGCAGGCATTAGGATATGGACATCTTTGAGGTCTCATGACTTGCCTGCAGTAGTGTATTTGTAAACTACAAGAAAATGGTAAGCACAACATTGTTGTGTATTAATTAGAGTAGCCAGGGATGAGGTTATGATTAATCAGAGAAATTCTTCATCAGTCATTTATGAAAGGAAGCAAAGGTTCTCACATGAAATTGAGAATAAAAGTTTATAAGTCCATCTACTTCTACTGTTAAGTATATTAATGTGGCAAAGCATGGTTAAATGCTCTGAAATTACTTAGACAATGTTAAAGGCTGATTCTAAAATGTTTTGATTTAGATTAAAATCTATTTAAACTTTATACCAAACTGGGCTTGAGATGTAGGCTTTAGAAAGTATAGATAATGGTACACTCTTGCCAGAATTTGAGTTTTTGCTAACTTTGGGATCTATCGGCTTGTCTTAGTGTAATGTAGTTTTTGTGAAATTTTCAGCTCTTTGTAAAACCAGTGTAAGTAAATTTCTATCTAGTCTAGAAATTCTGTTAAGGTTTATTATGCTAAAAATTAGGTAAATGGCAGTTGATCTTTGGCAGACATGTTTGATCATTTGTACAAGCTCAAGGCATTTTTTAGAGTGTGTATCTGGAACCCACAAGTTCTAGCTCTCTAAGTAGTTGATGACCTCAGGCAGAGCAGGAAACTTTCAGAGGTCTCAGGTGAATACTTACTTATTTTGGAGTATGTACCACCTATGATATACATAAATTACCCATCTCCCTTAATCCAGACAAAAGCCACGGGAGGCGGGAAATATTGTGCCAGTTTTAAAGCTGAGGAGGTGGTGAAGACTGGGTTTGAATCCAAGTGTAGATGACTCTAGAACACCCGCACTTTTACCGTCCTGACTCACTTTTGGTAAGTTGAGAGGTTTGTCCATAGATTAATGATTTTCAGACCGTGCTGTAAGTCTCTGTGCTGACCCTTTGAAAGTCTGGGAAAAAATGAAATATTTTTTTGCTTGAGGAATCAGTTATCCCCCCTTGTTTTATGCATTTGGCTTCTGTCTTAATTCTCTTTGGAAAGAATTTCTCTGCCTAAAACATTTGAAGTCTCCTGCGCTAGAAACCAGAGGCACATCTAGAACGAATATGTATTAGAAAATAAAAACGTAGGTGATAGTAGTTTGTATTTGTCAATGGACAGACTGTATCTGTTTTCAATTATATTTCTATTCCTAATGATACTTTGTGTAGCCTAATATTAAGATGAGGTCAAGGTGATTGAACAAACTATTAATAGGGTGGGGATGTGATTAGAGTTAAAATTTGATACTGAAAGTGGGTAATCTACAATTTCCTGCACTGGGCTCACTCCCCACACCAGCTCTTGCTGCGTTTAAAGGCTGCCCTAAGCATGATGTCATGACAAGTTAAACCTCTGAATGCACTAGCTGAGGTGATGCAAATCTGAGACCCAGGATTTGATTGGGGCAAGGGTATTGCTTGTTTAAAAACAAAACAAGCTGCTCTATTTAATGAGGCCATTTAAGATGGCTTTCCCAGAGAGGGAAGAGAATATAATCTCAATTTGGAGGTTAAAGTAGGAGTTTAATATGGTTATGTGTGTTTACTTCTCTCACTGCAAAGTCTTTTCGGAGAGAAGGGGAGTTTAAAATATGGTGCCCACGGGTAGAAATGGAGAAGTGAGTTAGAATTGAGGAAATACAGTAGTTGACGCCCAGTAAATAGTTACTGAATGGAGTGGGGAGAATGCTTTTACTCTATAAAAAGTTAAGAGTTCGCACGGTTTATCAGCAGGGTATAGTGCAGAGAAGAGCGCTTGTGTGGCCACATGTTTCCTATAGACTCTCTGTAGCTCTTGGGTTGAAACCGTACGCAATTGCCGATATCCGACTATTTCGGCCTTCAAAAATGGCATGTTTCGTCCTAAATGTATGCTGGTGGAAATGCTGAGGCGTGCACAATGTCGCTGGGGTAGGGGTTTTGCCCCGCTGGGTGGGAGTCGCACGCGGTGGGGCCCGGGTGCTGCGCTGGGCCGGTGGGGTGGAGCTTGCTGGCCCCTGAGCCCCGCCCCGCGCCGGGCGGGCGGCAGTGCCTTGGGCGCCGCAGTGAGGCCGGCTGGCGCTCCCTGTTGGAGCAGGCCTTCCCAGTTGCTACCCGGCCCCAGCTCCCGCTCCAAACGGGCCTCCTGGCAGGCCGGACCCTGCAGTAGCTCCAGAGCCGCCTCGGAGAGCGCGCCTCCTCCCCCCGCCGCCGCACACTCTGTAGCCGCGTCCTTCACCAGAGCTGGCCGGAGCCTAGCTGATGAATCTGGGGAAGACAGACTTCCGAGACAGACGGAGGTTTAGGGCCCAGCAGAGGATAGCTCAGCGATGGCTCCCATTTTTGGAGACGCAGGCAAATTTGAGCTCCCGGGAAGGTGTGGTCGACTCCTCTGTCTCTGCCTCCGTAGCCCGTGCTTCTGCAGAGTGAATGGAGTGTCTGGAGCAGGGCCCTGACCGTCGCTTCTTGGCAGCGGAATGCTTAGGAAGGTGTCCAGGAAGGGCCTCTGTTACAGATTGTCTTTGCTTCTGGGGCAGCGGCTATGAGTTGCCCCACTTCCAATGACCGGGAAGTCCGGGAAGTCTGCCTTACCTTTTCTGTACTCCTGGAGGGGCATCTTGCTCACTTGTTTACCAGCAGCTGGGACAAGGAAGAGAAAAGGTATTGACATTAAGAGACTGGTTGGGGGCCCGCCCGGTGGCGCAAGCGGTTCAGTGCGCGGCCTGCCCGGTGGCGCAAGGGGTTCAGCGCGCGCGCTCCGCTGCCGAGGCCCGGAGTGCACCGGGTCGGATCCCGCACCGAGGCACTGCTTGGCAGGCCATGCTGTGGTGGCGTCCCATAAGGAAGCTGGGCGCGGATGTTAGCCCAGGGCCAGTCTTCCTCAGCAAACAAAGAGGAGGATTGGCAGATGTTAGCACAGGGCTGATCTTCCTCAGAAAAAAAAAAAAAAGAGAGAGAGAGACTGGTTGCTTAAACTGTGAAACGGGACAAAGTTGTTGTAAGCCAGGGGAATCTGACTGGATCAGGGAATGGCTGCAGCATAATTGAGCTCACAGTGACGTTTCTTTTGATCTGCTGTACTTTTCTCAGTTTAAATCAAATTTCACGTTATGTCATGACTTCTGCAGGGTTGTCCAAAGACACTTGAGTCCTTGGTTCCTACTGCACGGCTGCTGTGTGGTTGGGATTCTTTTTCTGTTTGAAGATGGAGCTAGGTTCCCACCTCTGGAGCTTTGGGAGGTTTTAGCAGCTGCTCTCTTAGAATACCTCCATTCACAAGAAATATTGGCTACATGTCACTTGTTTTCACACTTTGAATAGGAATTTAAATTGTGCTTTCTAGAATGTTTGGAAAAATAAGAAAGATACATTGTAACATGATCCTGAACTATTGATGATAAACATGTAACTGTTTTGCTAGGTCAAGAAATTAAACAGTGTTTTTCTTGCTTAGTAAGTTACATTATGTTGATTTGATTACAAACTGAGTTTACTGCCCCTCCATGTGATTAGCTGTTTCGGTTTAGTGATTTGAAAGGCATTGGTGGCTTAGACTGTTTTGTGCTCAAGGAGCCACTTTCCATTTATTATGTTTGCTCACTTCAGTGAGCAGCATAAAATGGACCATGAAATAGGCATACAGCATACATACAGGGCGTTTGGGCAATGCTGACCCATTGTTTTACAAGTGACCTAAAATGATGGATCATCATATGCACAAAGAATCTCAGGGGGAAGCTGGATTACAAGAGAGTACCTTTATAGTCTCTTTGTTGGGCTCTAGGACACCTGTGGTGTACAGGGCTTCGATGATGGGAACTGATTCGATGATGGGAACTGATTCGTGTGCTCCATGTGATGAGCTACATTATGGTGGAATTCTGCTGTACTTTTGTTTCCCTTTGAACTTTAGAGAGAGTGGAATTTATCTTTTTTTTCTCTTTGCATCCTCAACCCCCATTTAAGGTGTGTATCCTTGAGTAATCTAGAACTCAGATTGTATTTACATGGTCACATTGGTAACCAGCATTGTTTTTTGAAAGTTAAATTCTTTGAAACAGAATAACAATTATAATTGAGAAAACATTAAATTTGAGGCATTAAATTTTAATTTTGTGGAAATATGGCTTATATAGTTACTGGGAGTACACTCCTGGACATCGACTGCTCTTTTGTCACCCCCAAGATAAACAGTGGCCTGCCGTATCCCAGCAAAGGTAGATTCCTGGGAAAAGGTGCTTGTGTCATCTTTCCTTCAGTCTGACAAGTTAGTTACATTGTTGATCATTCCTTCCAGATGACATTTCTCTCTTAAATAATAATGTTTATTACTGTGCTGATGAACGCTCCAGCAACATTGGTGAACTCTAGGGTACAAGGAATTCTTTACCTGTTGACTCTTTCCCTGAGCCCCAATGTTGTGAGTGTGTGTCTGGTGCTTTTATATTTATTCTTTTTTTTTCCTTCTTGAGGAAGATTTGCCCTGAGCTAGCGTCTGTTGCCAATCTTCCTCTTATTTTGCTTGAGGAAGATTGTTGCTGAGCTATCATCCTTGCCCATTTTCCTCTATTTTGTATATGGGACGCGACCACAGCATGGCTTGACGAGCAGTGTGTAGATTCAGGCCTGGGATCGGAACCTGCGAACCCCGGCTGCTGAAGTGGAGTGCGTGAACTTAACCACTATGCCACAGGGCTGGCCCCTGTCTTCCTTATTTTACCTTCTTTTCCTTGCTTTCCTTCTCCTTTGCAAATTGTATCTGATTTATATTAATGGAATGGAAGTAGACTAGAATGATTTACTTTCTCTAAGTACCAGACTAAAAACTTTGAGGATGGCCCTCCATTTCTCTTGTCCCTCTTTTGAGGGAGGTACTGAGCAGTAGGAAACAAGATTAATACCCAGCTAATGTTAAGGAGCTAGAGGATGAAGATGGAGGATGGCAGCAGGCCCTTCCCCTTGCGATGCCCTCCATTCCCCAAATATGCATCTAGAGCAGATAACTGTTCAGCATTAAGAGGAATTAATCAAAGTCAACTCCCTGGGGATCCTTTGGATCACTTATAAGGCCCTGTAGCTTTCAACAGCTGACACAGAATGGGAAAGAAATAGACCAAGTAGGGAAATTGAACACAGGGAGGAGAAAGTCCAATCAAAACTGACTTGATTGAACTTAAGCTTAGTTGTTTCTGGTCCAGTTTCTCTTTCAGCATTTATTCCATGTAGTCCATCCAGGGACAATTTTTAACATTTTTTTAAGAAAGGGAATTCTAAATGTGTTCTGGAACATTTTGAAAAGAGATTTTATCCAGTGTACAACTCCTAATAATCAAAATGTATATTTTATGTCATTTATATGTTTTTTAACCTATTTATTTTCCTTTATTCTTTTGCTCACAGTAAATTTTGCATGGAGCTTCAGTATTTCTGGCATGTAAACATTATTTATAAAATAAGTTATAGTTGTAATTATTTTTCTCCTGCCTCCTTTTATTTTTATTCATGTTTTTTATTACAGAAATGAGCCGTCAGACTGCAACAGCATTACCTACTGGAACCTCAAAGTGTACACCGTCACAAAGGGTGCCTGCCCTGACGGGCACAACTGCGTCCAACAATGACTTGGCGAGTCTTTTTGAGTGTCCGGTGTGCTTTGACTATGTGTTACCACCCATTCTTCAATGTCAGAGTGGCCATCTCGTTTGTAGCAACTGTCGCCCAAAGCTCACATGTTGTCCAACTTGCCGGGGCCCATTGGGATCCATTCGCAACTTGGCTATGGAGAAGGTGGCCAATTCAGTACTTTTCCCTTGTAAATATGCCTCTTCTGGATGTGAAATAACTCTGCCACACACAGAAAAAGCAGACCACGAGGAGCTCTGTGAGTTTAGGCCTTATTCCTGTCCGTGCCCTGGTGCTTCCTGTAAATGGCAAGGCTCTTTGGATGCTGTGATGCCCCACCTGATGCATCAGCATAAATCCATTACAACCCTGCAGGGAGAGGATATAGTTTTCCTTGCTACAGACATTAATCTTCCTGGTGCTGTTGACTGGGTGATGATGCAGTCCTGTTTTGGCTTTCACTTCATGTTAGTCTTGGAGAAACAGGAAAAATACGATGGTCACCAGCAGTTCTTTGCAATTGTACAGCTGATAGGAACACGCAAACAAGCTGAAAATTTTGCTTATCGACTTGAGCTAAATGGTCATAGGCGGCGATTGACTTGGGAAGCAACTCCTCGATCTATTCATGAGGGAATTGCAACAGCCATTATGAATAGTGACTGCCTAGTCTTTGATACCAGCATTGCACAGCTTTTTGCAGAAAATGGCAATTTAGGCATCAATGTAACTATTTCCATGTGTTGAAATGGCAATCAAACATTTTCTGGCCAGTGTTTAAAACCGTTGCATTCAATTTCGCAGAGAATAAGGCACCCATCTGCCTGCCAACCTGAACCTGTCGGTAGGTGGAGGCTAGACACATGAAGGTAAATAAAAGGAAAGGCTGTTAAATACAGGAAGCAGTTGCATGTAGTAACACTAATATATTTAAAAATGTCAACAGTAAACCACTGAAAAAATATATATATATATATACACCCAAGATGGGCATCTTTTGTATTAAGAAAGGAAGCCTTGTAAAATAATTCTGAATTTGTGTTCATTGTAGGTCGAGTGTACTGTTGAAAAATATTGGGGTTTTTGTTTTTTGTGTGTGCGCGCGAGTTTGCGTGTGTGCGTGTGCGTATTTGTTTTTTTTTCCTTTAACTGACAAGCCATGTTGAGTGGTCTTGGACCACTGCTTTTCCCCTTCGTCAGTCAATACATAGTGCTGCTGTGTGTGTATATTTTTTTTGTGTGTATTTGCTAATTTTTATTAATTCTAGTTTTTCATTAAATAAATTTGACTTTCTTTTCTGTAATTCAGGTTCTTCCTCACTTTTTTTTGTACCTTTTTAAAATTAGTGTCTTTTTGATATGTATAATTGTTTATGGTAAAGCTTATACATATGTGTTTGATACATATTTTCTTTTCCCTCATTAATCAGTTCATTAGAAATATTTTAAATTCAGCTATTTTGTGAAGATATGAGTTCCAGAAAGGAAAGGTAACATCAGAAGAATTATCAAAAGCTATTCAAAGCAGCTATCAGATGGTCTCTCTTTTTTTTCCCCCCATTTGAGTCATACTTTCAAACTTATTCTTTGAAAGGTTAGGGAATACTGATTTTTTTTTAAATACTGGAAAAAAAATCAGGCTCTCTTTTTCTTTTTTTCCCAAATATAGTGGACAAATTACATGTTTAAAATTTGTTCTTCTATTTATTGGTTTTGCAAAAGAAGGCATCATCTTACACAGTATTTGTAATTAAAAGCAAATCATTTGTTTAAAAAAAAGGCAGTTTGCAAAAAAAATGTTTTTGGTCTTTTATAATTCTCATTAAAAGAAGATCTGGCAAATTAAAAACTCTTATGTGTCTGCTTTAGCTCTAAGTTTGATTAAAATCCAAAGTTATTTTCCTGTTGAGTTCTGTACTTTATAGCCAAAAGCAATGTGTGCTATATTTTGAATTGTGGTAGATAAAGTTTTATTCTCAAGTACAGCAAAAGAATGGGTATATGGTCTCTTTTTGGACTACAGAGTCTTTTTTTTCCTTCCCTCTTACATTTTGATTCTCACAACTCTGGTGAGGGACTGATTAAAATGCTGATCACTTTTTCTCCCCTTAAAAAAACACAAAACAGTAAAAATAAGTTACTATTTTATAGTTTAGTGGTTATGAGCCTGGGCTCTGTAGCTAGACTTCGAAGGACCTACATGGCAATCCTAGCCCCACCCCACCTGTCAGCTGTGTGACCTCGGGTCCCGGTTTCCTAGTATTCTGATAGCTACCTCAGAGGGTTAAATGGGATACAAGTAAGTTGCCTAGAACAGTGCTTTGCACATAATAAGCACCAAGCAGATGTGAGCTGCGATGATTTTGCCTTTAGCACCATATACTTAACTGTTAGTTATTCTGAGGCAACTGTTGTTAGTTATTCTGAGGCACCTGGCAAGATTCTGAAATTGCCTTCTGAATGCCCAAAGATCATTTTATTTTGTGTGGTTTTCATGGGTTTCCTAAAAATGTAGAAAGTCAGTTAAAATTAATTTGGATTTTCACCTTATCCCATCACCAATTTTGGATAACAGAATTTACATCTGTTAACCATTTTCAGGAAAGAAGACTGTGTAGTCTCTTCTCTAGATAAGCGTTATTTTTTGAATTGGTTGTAACGTGCTTGTGTAGCAGTCTTTGTGGTGAAACGGAACAGGTCAACCACAAATGTATATCCAGGTCTATTCCTGTTAACGTGTGTTTAGAAAAGCAGTTTTCCCCCTCAATTAATATGTGGAATATTTTTTGCGGAGTATATTGTGTTTTTACGATATTTTTAAATGTTTCTTTGATTATAAAAGTAACGTGTGCTCAGTAGATAGACTTTTATTCTTCTAGTCCTTTATATTTACACGTGCTTACAAAAGTTTATTTTGAGATCATGTAATTCTGTAACTGCCTCACACCTCCACACATAACATGATCATCTAAGCATTTCACCACTTTAATAGTCTTAGAAAAGCACCATTTTGGGTAACTTTTGTGAGGACTGACTATAATTTTAGCCAGTTTCCTGATGTTGGATATCTGCTTTTTCCAATTTGTTCAGGTAAGTTTTTTTGGCTATTTATAAATAACCTGTGAACATTTCTGTATGTTTTCTGATTATATTCTTGGGATTCTTTTTTATTTTTTAAGGTCTTGATACTTTTCTGGAGAGGCTTCAGTGGACACTTATGGTAGCAGTGAGGATTTTCCATTTCATTGTAACCTCATGTTTTGCTAATTTATGCAAATTAAGATAGTCAATTTTGTGAGTTTGACAGCTAATAAGGTTGACATTTTGATATTTGTTAACTATATTTCTTTTAAGTCGTCTTCAGTATTCTTGGCCTACAGGGATAATGAGATCTATAGCCATATTTCTTTTTTTTTTTTGAAAGGAAACCTTTAATATTTTTTTATTTTTTATTTATTTTTTCCCCCAAAGCCCCAGTGGATAGTTGTATGTCATAGTTGCACATCCTTCTAGTTGCTGTATGTGGGACGCGGCCTCAGCATGGCCGGAGAAGTGGTGCGTCGGTGTGCGCCCGGGATCCAAACCCAGGCCGCCAGCAGCAGAGCACACGCACTTAACCGCTAAGCCTATAGCCATATTTCTTGGTCTGTCTGATTTGATTCATGAGGTCTCTGGTTCTTAAATCATCTGTATTATAATCAATATTCTACTTTTTCCAGTTAACGCCCCTGCCCTTCTTTGAGTGTCTTGCTGTTTTCTCTTGGGACTCTATAGGGTGGAGGGTAGGTGGTGCTCTTGAACTTTATTCTTTTGCTTTTGTATTCTTAAACTTGAATTTATCCTGTTTAATTGAATCACGAGCCAATTTAGTGTGTTAATGATCATTGGAGAACAATTTTTTTCTTTTGCTTTGAGTGATTTTTATTATGTATGACTTTTTTTTTTAAGGCCCACATTTCTGCAAACTTTAAACTTAAGTCAGTGGCTATAGATATTTTGGCTCACCACAACTCTCAGTGCTCACCCCCTCTTCCCTCCCTCCCAGAGCTCAAGAGCTCTTTATATCCAGGAACATCTGCGATGATTCTACTAACAGTGGAATTTTATTTCATTCTGTTTCCTGAGAGAAAGAATTGTTAAGTAACCCATATTAAAAAAACACTGGATCAAACTAAACATATCTGGGAGCCAGTCTGACTGCTGCATTAGAATTTTGAGTTAAGAGCAGAACATAATAGGGTGAATTGAGTGTATGACCTACCAACTAGTACTGTAGTCATTTCTGTAGGTTATACAAGAAAAGGTACAGATGGAGACAGTGTTATGGAAACCTATAGATGGAATGCACTGCTAGAATCTTTGTCATTCCCCTCCCCGCCTCCCCACTGTGCCTGTTCCAAACACAAAGGATTATTTGGTTGTTTACTGCTTATGATCTTAAGCTAGTTAGATCCTTTACCAAAAGAAATTCACATTTATCTAAAAACAGCATCATCCTCCAAATTAGTTTAATACTTATCAAGCACCTACTAATACATGGTGAACAGTGTGGGCTGCAGGTTCTAACTGCCTGGGTTTGAATTCGGACCCTATACCCACTAACTTTTGCTCTGCTTAGTTCCTCTGTAAAAGGGTGTAACGGTGTATACCTCATAATGGGAATGAGGATGGCTAAGTGTGCTACAAAGTGCTCATCCATATGCCTGGCATTATGTTCCCACTGTTGGGGAATCAGATGTTTTCCCTAACCTCATTCAGCTTTAAGAATTTTCTTGGATAAAGAAATTTTAGGGGCTGGCCCGGTGGCGCAAGCGGTTAAGTGCTCACGCTCCACTGCGGCGGCCCGGGGTTTGCTGGTTCCGATCCCAGGCGCGCACCAACGCACTGCTTGGCAAGCCATGCTGTGGCGGCGTCCCATATAAAGTGGAGGAAGATGGGCACACATGTTAGCCCAGGGCCAATCTTCCTCAGCAAAGAGAAAAAAAAAAAAAAGGATTGGCAGATGTTAGCACAGGGCTATCTCACAAAAAAAAAAAAATATTATTACAGATATAATTTTCTTAGGCCTTTCTAAATTCTGAAAAGCATAAACAATGGTATGAAAGAATACTTGGTTTTATCAAGTCACACTTTGACAAGCTTGCACTGACATGATGTTAAGATCAAGGATTTAGCCTAATGAGTTTCAGTTCCTGCTGCCTAGAAATGCACTGATAATAAGAGCTGAACTTATTTAAAAATTTAATATGAAAGATTTTTTATTAGGTCCAAAAATGTTAACAGAGTCTTTAGATCATTGAAAAGTACAAACCATACCTAATATGTTCCAAATAAGTGAATTTTCATAGCAAATAAATCTTTTCCTAGAATTAAAAAGAAACCTTGATACAGCTGTTTTAAAACATTTCAATGGCTGTTCATGAGATTGCCTATTGTGTCTATTCAGATTCTTTTACTATTTCCTTCCTGTTTTGGTGCTTTTTAAAATTTTTTTAGTAACTGATTTTCATTGCAGCATCCACTAAATGTTAGTAAAACAAAACAAAAGTGCATAGCATTGGATCATAAGTCATCAAATTGGGTAATGACTATACTTTTGTAGTCTTGATTTTTCAAGCTGCTGGATAAAATTTTCATGAGGATGGACGCTCAAACACAACTCATTTTTGCCACAATAATGTGCGCTTGAACTTGTTACTTCATTAAAAAACAAAACTTCTTGATGTTTACATCTAATAATCCCAGTTAAAATAAACTTTAGATTTGGAAAGAGAATTGGCAAAATTAACATTGTAGCTTAGTGCCAAGTTCCTTAATTATAGGAAGGTTTACCATTTCAATTGTTCCTAAAAGGAAAATACGAAGGCAGCCCACTGTAACCCTCAGCAGTTGATTACCTCACATGGTTGACTTTGGTAAGGTTTAAATGTGGACCAGTCACTTAGTACAGGGAGCTCCTGGTGGTAGACGACACTAGTCACCGTGTCCAGAAGATGAGAACATGATGTAATCTATGCAGAAATAGAAGTATAATGATGTACACCTGAAATTTATACAATGTTATAAACCAATGTTACTGCAATAAAAAATTAAAAAAAAAAAGAATCCTCTGCATGTCAAGCAGCCACTACTACTCAGCCATGGCACTGGAAATGAAACCCATTTATATCCCCACTCTTCTTATGAGGAGGACCTGTGCTATGACCAGAATGCAAATCTTGATTGATTGATGTCAAAGGAGGAAAAGGAAGAAGGAAATCTTTGTTTCACTTAGCACATGCACTTATTGCCCCCCTCTTATTTAAAAAAAATTCAGGTATGTTTAGTATCCTTTAAATACCACTCATATAATCAGGAGACTTTAACTATGGTCACAGATTTATAAACTGATGTTAAATATTTTAGGATCAATCACTTTGAATTTTTCACTGTATTTGCAAATAGGCCATCAGAAGCACGCAAGATCTCTGCCTCTGACATGGTTCTTGCTAAGGTTCAAACAGAAGGGACAAGTGGAAAACGTGTGCGCCTCAAGCACACAGTCTAGAATTTCTTGATTACAAAGGAAGGCACTTAATGCTTATAGTTTTGATACTTTAAGAGTTTTAAAAGCCTATACATAACAAGCGTGTAGAGTACTGGTTAATACACAGATCCCAAGGCCTCACCTCTAGGCCTACTGAATTGGAATCGTTATCAGCATTTTCAATAAAAAACCCAGTTGATTGTGATATAAGGGGTCTTTGGGTAACACTTGAAAAAACAATGCTAGAAAAAGATAGTCAACATCACTAGTAAGGAAATGCAAATCAAAACCAAGAGGTGCTACTTCACACCCATTAGGATGGC